TATCTTAGAAACAACAAAACAAATTAACACATTTTGTAAATTTAACATTACCTTGACAGACCCATAATATTCCTGTGAATTGTTAGCGGCAATTTTTTTGATTTTTTTTAATTTTTTTTGGGGGGGGTTTGGGGATTAGTAAGTTGGTGATTGAAATCAATAGGCAGTTTAAAGGAACACTATAGCCATCTAAACTACTTTAGCTAAATAAAGCAGTTTTAGTGTCTAGATTATTCCCCTGCAATATCACTGCTCAATTCACTGTCATTTAGGAGTTAAATCACTTTGTTTCTGTTTGTGCAGCCCTAGCCACACCTCCCCTGGCTATGATTGACAGAGCATGCATGAAAAAAAGACTGGTTTCACTTTCAAACAGATGTAATTTACCTTAAATAATTGTATCTCAATTTCTTAATTGAACTTTAATCACATACAGGAGGCTCTTGCAGGGTCTAGCAAGCTATTAACATAACAGGGGATAAGAAAATCTTAATTAAACAGAACTTGCAATAAAGAAAGCCTAAATACGGCTCTCTTTACAGGAAGTGTTTATGGAAGGCTGTGCAAGTCACATGCAGGGAGGTGTGACTAGGGTTCATAACCAAAGGGATTTAACTACTAAATAGCAGAGGATTGAGCAGTGAGGCTGCAGGGGAATGTTCTATACACCAAAACTGCTTCATTAAACTAAAGTTGTTCAGGTGACTATAGTGTCCCTTTAAGGTAATTAGACTGGCCCAGAAGTTGGTTAGAGAAGTTAAACTGGGTTGGGGTATAATATAAAAAAAAGAAAAGAAAATGGATGTGATAACAATGGTGTTGCAATATTAGGCTAGGCTTGAGAGAAGATATCCAGTTTAACAAATACATAAAATAAAACATGGTGAGCCACCAAATCATCTCAAGTCTGCACAAGAATTCTCAGACTTACCCTAAGAAATTCGATACCAACAGAGATATTCTCGCAGTGGTCGTTATATAAACAGACATACGTGAAATGTAGCTATTTAACACGAATGATTAGCCGAACAGAGTACGAGAATATAAATTTATGCAGGTTTTAAAGCAAATGAAACATACGAACAGAGCTGACATTTAAATTGGATTTTTTCTAAATGGTTTATACGAACGCTTTCCCGACTATTGATTGAGCCGAACGCTAACTCCTAGATAGCTGGATGACTAGGATGTTTTACACGAATAAGCCTTTGTTCGTATAACCGAAAAGACTTACAGTTAAGGAAAAAACTTGACGACTGGATTCCGATCGTGTGTTATACTCACGAATCTTAGCGTGCAAGTTCCTGACAGTAGTTTAGGCGCGTCGCAGCAAAATGTCAGAGGTCTGGGTGAACCGGAAGTGAAGGCGGGAAATTACGAAGTCGACGAAGACAGGTAAGCAAGGGGTTTACTGGGGTTATATAGGCCTTAAATCCCTCCCAAAATTTCAGGCATACGCCTTTTCTATATAGTACTTTGTTATTTCTCCTCTTGTTTTACCTTGTATCTCTTGTCTTGTTTTATTTTGTCTTGTGTTACCAGTTCATGTACAGTCCAGTCCTGTCTTGCCCTGCTCATGTTTAACTCCTGTATTGTGTACATGTTCTGGGTTCTGCTTTTTGTCCTGCTCTGGATTCTGGGTTCTTGTCTTATCTGTTTGGTGCCTATTCTAGTCTTGCCTTATTTTCTAGTACTGGATACTTATTTGCTTAATATCAGCTCCTGGCATCCGCTAAGCTGCATCAGGCCTCTGGTATGTGGCCGCACAAACCCTGGTGCTCAACACCAGGAGGTGTGTGGTTACCCTGCACCAGGCTTTGATAGTCCATTTCCACGCTGAGACTTCGATCATCCTCATCAGACACATAGGGGTCCCGGTTTTTCAGACCGCCACCCGTGACACATTTTAAGCTTTAGCTATACGCCTGTTTGTCTCTTGTTTTGATTTTACATCATCTGTACCACTGCACTGCAAAACACATGTGATGTTAAACACTCTTAAAAAAAAATAATTTAAAAAAATGCAAGTCTCTTGAAATTTTCCATCTCATATATGCAATGAATGTCACATTTACTCTTGATATGGTGTCAGTAGAAGTCTGTATGTCTATCTATGCACTACAAAAATAAGGAATTATAAAAAAAAATTACCAATACTAACCTTAAAAAATGCAAAGTTATGCACTTCAGCATAAAGAAAGCAACATATACCCTTAATGGAAGCGAATTAGTGATAACAAAACACGAAAAGGACTTGGGAATTGTTAAAGACAACAAACTATGCAACAATGTGCAATGTCAATCAGCAGTGGCTAAGGCCAGTAAGGTATTGTCATTCAAGAAAAGGGGCATTCATTCATTAATAGCTGCTTGATCCAAGGATAAATCTGACTGTCATTCTGGGGTGAAGAAGATTTTTTTTTTAGTTTGTTGTAAAATTGGAAGTGCTTCAAACTTTTTTTTTTTTTCCCTTCTTTTGGATCAACAGCAGAAAACACATGTGAGTAGAGTTGAGCGAACACGGACTATAAAGTTCGGGTTCGTACCGAACATTAGGTTTTTTGGACCCCGGATCCGAACACGGACATATCACTGTATGTTCGGGTTGGAGTTCGGTGTTCGTCGATTTAATGGTGCGTTTTCAAAGGCTGCAGGGCAGCCAATCAACAAGCGTTTGACTTGTGTGCCCTTAGAAGCCATCACAGCCATGCCTACTAATGGCATGGCTGTGATTGGCCAGTGCAGCATGACCCAGCCTCTATATATATAAGCTGGAGTCTCGTAGCGCTGCACGCACATGCGGTCTTATTAGATGCTGTTGCTGATAGGCAAACTAGTACATTAGTGGGGTGGGGTGCATTTCATATTTGAGAGTCAAATAAAAGCTTCAAATACCGCGGTTACATCAGAGTTTAAAAAAGTATTTATTTTATTTTTTGTGCTAAATAGTACATTAGTGGGATGCACTTCATATCTGAGAGTCAAATCGAAGCGTCAAATACTGCTGTCACATTGCAGATTTAAAACTTAAAATTATTTAGGTGCTAAACTGCTAAATAGTATTTTAGTGGGGTGAACTTCATATCTGAGAGTCAAATCGAAGCGTCTAATAGTGCGCTTACAGTGCAGTTGTAAACATACTAATTGTTTTGCTGCTAATCTGCTAAATAGTACATTTTGGGGCCTGTTCTTCATAGCTGAGAGTCAAATAGAAGCGTCAAATAGTGCGGTTACAGCGCAATTGTAAACATTCTTATTTTCTGGGTGCTAATCTGCTAAATAGTACATTAGTGGGGTGCACTTCATATCTGAGAGTCAAATAGAAGCGTCAAATACTGCGGTTACAGCGCAGTTGTAAAAATTCTAATTGTTTTGGTGCTAAACTGCTAAATAGTAAATTTTGAGGCCTGTTCTTCATATCTGAGAGTCAAATAGAAGCGTCTAATACTGCGGTTACAGCGCAAATGTAAACATTCTAATTGTTTGGGTGCTAAACTGCTAAATAGTACATTTTGAGGCCTGTTCATATCTGAGAGTCAAATAGAAGGGTCTAATACTGCGCTTACTGCGCAGTGGTAAACATTCTAATTGTTTTGGTGCTAAACTGCTAAATAGTACATTTTGGGGCCTGCTCTTCATATCTGAGAGTCAAATCGAAGTTTTAAATAGTGTGCTTACTGCGCAGTTGTAAACATTCTAATTGTTTTGCTGCTAATCTGCTAAATAGTACATTTGCGGCCTGCGGTGCACTTCATATCTGAGCGTCAAATAGAAGCGTCAAATAGTGTGCTTACTGCGCAGTTGTAAACATTCTAATTGTTTTGCTGCTAATCTGCTGCTTACATTGGAGTTTTAAAAAGTCATTTATTTTTTTTGGTGCTAAATAGTATATTTGGGGTGTTCAGTTCATATCTGAGAGTCAAATCAAAGCGTAACTTTGATTTGAATGTACTACATCGGTCACTTGTAATATTGTTTCACACCTACAACACTTGTTACAAAGATCTAAGTGATAGAAAACAGATTGATATTTTCTACACTAGAAACTACCAGATAAACTGCTATATTTAAACCAGTTATCAATAGCTAAGAGGTACTTCAAAATTATTGTAATTCTGGGGCAATACCCTCACAAGTCAAACTGAGAGGTCAGTTTATAGGGAAAACTGTTGCCTGTATACAATTCTAAATTTTTCCATATGTCCTTTGCAGACTATACATGCTGGAAAAACACAGGTGCCAATTGCTGTGGCTTTCTGAAGTGTGCAGACCGGCAAGGAGGGCAGGGTTGAGGAGTGGATGGAAGATGATGTGGAGGATGATGAGGTCCTAGTCCCCACATGGAATCAAGGTCATGCGAGTGACCTGTGCAGTTTGGAGGAAGAGGCGCTGGTCGCACAGAGGCACCAGCACAGCATAAGAGGGAGCAGGGTGCAAAAACGGAGCGGCCGTCCCCTAGCGCTCGTCGGCATGTATTAGCTTGAGAATTACCAGTTATCCAAGTAATACATGTAGTGATCAAAGGATCCATAATAGCGTTGAGCGAACCCGAACTGCAAAGTTCAGGTTCGTCCCAGATTTAACGATCCATTCGTTGTTTCACAGTCAGGTGGGCAGTCCGGTGACCAGGACCCAGACACTGTCTGGGCGGAGGTCGGACGACCGGGACCCAGTATGCCTGATGTTGAAGTTAGGAGTCACAGTGTGGAATGGATTAGCAGGGTCTGTTGCAGGGTAACCGCATGCCCCCTGGTGCTGAGCACCAGCGTTTGTGCGGCCACATCCCAGGACCCTGATGCAGCTTCAGTAAAAAGAGTACTGGATACCAGAAGCCATCACCAGAGTGATCCGCAACTTGGAACAGGATGTGACATTCACTGTAGCGGCTGTGCGCTCTTTTGGGGTTCTCATCTGGCTGCTGCTCGCCTGTCTGCACTGCAGCATAACTTAGGCCTTCCCGTTCACCACCTCATGAGACTGTGCGAGCAGCAGCAAGCGATAGTGGAGTTTCAGCTGCAGTACGCACAGGTCAGTGGCTCTGCACCAGACTTCCCTCCAATTGATCAGAGTTAAAGGATTGCAAGTGGACTCATTACAATTACAAGGCCTCTAAAGAGTCCTGTATTGTTATTTGTTGTCACTACAGCTTCCCGCGCCGGGAGTGGGTCATTTGTGTGCCTGCTGCCTTCCTTGCATGTAGTAGCCGTTTCTCAGGGTCCCTGTGCGGAATGGATTCCCCGTTACCCGTGGTCACCATGGTAGGCGCAGAAACTGGCATCAAACGTTGATATGGATGACATCTGCATGCAAAGTCGCCTCCACGGGGATGTACGATTGGCTCGAGGTTCTCTAAAGTCAACAAAGTGCCTGCGCAACTATAATGTCAACAGCTACTCTGCGCGTCAGAGTTGTCTTTAATTATATGTCCCAATATTTTGTGGGCTACCACAATAAAAAAAAAAAAATACATAAAAAACAGTGTTGGCTACCTCATCCTCCTCCACCACTGCCACGGTCACCGCCTCCTCAACCTATGGGTCACTTAGTATAAACTATGTACACATTAGCAGAGGCTTGTGTAGGCCTTTTCTCCATGCATCAGGACTGCAAGATATGCACCGCAGGCCACACATATTTTTTTTTGTAAGTCCCAATATTTTGAAGGCTACCCCAATTAAAATAAAAAAAAAATATATATATATATATATATATATATATATATATATAAACAGTGTTGGCTACCTCTTCCTCCTCCACCGCCACGGTCACCGCCTCCTCAACCTATAGGTCACGTAGTATAAACTATGTACACAATGGCAGAGGCTTGTGAAGGCCTTTTCTCCATGCATCAGAAGTTATGCTCAATTTGAACAATGAAAGAATACCTTGCACTCCAACCCTCTCTCAAATGGACAATTCTGGTGATCCTCCTTAAAGGCATGCTTTAGATTTTGATTCATGTTCTTCCAAAGCTAAAATCAAATACTCCATCTAGTGCTATTTTACAGCTCAGCCGTATTTTAAATTTTTATGTTATTTTAAGTGATTTCCCTATCCACATTTGTTTGCAGGGCACTTGTCCTACTCTTACCCCCATTTTACTTCCCTTTGCAGCTCTCTAGCCCTTTCCAGGAGTTTTTTAGAGGCATTTTTGTGGCCAAAAGTTCGGGTCCCCATTGACTTCAATGGGGTTCGGGGTCAAGTTCGGGGTCAAGTTCAAGCCCGAACCCGGACTTTTTTTTCAAAGTTCGGCCGAACCCGCCGGTCCCAAACATCCAGGTACAAAAAGGTGTAGCGCTACATATAGATATTTCCTCAAAAGCGGAAGGAATATTCTTCCAAAATGGACACAGTAGCAATAGTGTATTCTTGATGGTAAATACCTAAAAAATGAAATTAAACTCCCATAGTGTGACACTGTTATATATTCCAACTTTTATAGGTATATATAAAGAAACCACTCACATTCTCCTGAGCTATCCACCAAGCTCAGGGATAAAATGCTCACAGGTCCGTAAAGGCGACCTTCCCCTTCTTCAAATTAGATGGTTTTGCACAATGTCAGCTAGGACTTAAACAAAGCATATAGATGGTGCAATATTGCCTGACGCCAACAACCTTATATATAATGATAGTGTGTTATACTCACAAGGATGGAGCCATAAATAGGCTCGTTTTCAGCACGTTGTGTAGTTCAGGACTACACTCCTATTTGCAGGAACCAATAGCCCAAAGTATATTTAAAAATACTTTTGAAAAAAAGAATAAACAATAAAAAAAAAATTTATTTTTTTAATCGAGGGTACCTCAATATTAGGTACACCTTATAAAGTTATCTATACCACTATGCCTAAAAGATACTTATAAAATATTGGAGAGTTCTAGCTCTGTGTTAAGACCAAAAGGAACCAAGATTGTTATAGTATAAATCGAAAAAAAATTCTTGATGTGTGAGTTTGTTAAATATATATCCTCCCCCCGCGTTATATTTAATGATTTATATATTAAACTAGTTATTGTTTATTTGAGCTTGAACACAAGGTTTACATCTTTTTCAATATATGAAATATGTTGGTAAATAATATAGCTATATATCAGCATCGCTACAGAGCTTCGGAATAGACTCATATGAAGTAAAGAGAAAGAATCATCACCAGATACTAAAATGCATATGACTACAACCATTTGCTTGTGTCGGCTTAATTATTAGGCTATTGATGCCACTCATAAGTGATATAGAGATATGCAGAGTGTGACGGACCGCTGGCACTCCGACCGAGTCCCTCCGCCAATCGATGCTCCCAGTGCTTGCCGAGGACTCCCAGCACTCCACCAGACACCATAAGCACTGCAGACCCCACCTCCAGCAATGCAGATGCGCCGGAGTCCCGCCGTCCTCCACCCACCCTGGACCCAAGACCAGGATCCAGCTTCCAGTGGGTAGACCTCTCTTACTCCAGAGAGTGTAGCAGGAACAAACTCTTACAAGAGCTTATACTCAGGGGAGTATTGTGATTATAGCAATCCCCAAGAGTGTAATGATCCCATCCCCCAAACATGAGCCAAGGTTTCAAGAATGGGTCAAGCAGGTCTCAAGGTTTATTGAACAACTTTAGTTTTTTACAGTTTTCCCCCATAAGGTTGACGCACAGGACACAAAATTAACAAAACAATACAAACAGAGTCTTACATGCAGACACTCCCCTACAGTGTACACAATCCCTCCCCTCTGCCTGTGATACAATAAACAAAGACAATGGGCTAACTCAATTAACTCCAAACAGAAAAAAACATAATTTTTTACAAACCCCCAAAAGTACCCCAAAATACAAAATATCCGCACAAAAGTCACATCCCCTGATAGCCCCGATATGGGTGAACAACATACATATATATATATATATATATATATATATAACATAAATCACCCAGATCGGTTCAGGGGTTCGGGAATTTCCTGGAAGTCTTATTTTTGCCCCACCATGCACATGGTCCCATGCCCAAAACAGTTCCATACACTCGACGACAAAACACTGCTGGACAATTTAAGATGGCCGCCGCCACATTTTAATCTGTTCCAGTTAAAAGTCCAAGGGGCAGAAACAGTACTTTTGAACATGGGTTATCACAGGGCACATAGTCCCAGGGTAGGAGGCTGGCAAACAGGCCCCTCCAAAAACCAGTGGTGAAGTTGCTTTCGTCACACAGAGGATGTGTAGATGTAAAACAAGGCAACATATAATAAAAGATAAAAGGGAGATAACGGAGCATTCACATTAATAGACAATAGCAGCAGAAGTGGCTGTGGATGACTACTGAGGAGCTGCAGTTCCCTCTTGGCTTGTTTCGCACAGGGCCTCTTCACCCACAATGGGCCTTTCTGGGTAGAATTCTCAATTGTTGAAGTATCTGTAAGTCCCAGTGCGTGGAGTAGTGTCTGCTGATCATCTGTGGAGTATAACATAAGTGTTTCTGCACCATGTGGGATCACTAGGGAGCTCTCTGCCCCCAATGATATCTGATGGAGTGGTCTCTGAGCTTTACGGCTACTGTTAACAGTGCTTATGGTACTTCCTTTTATCTGTCTACCTAAAAACGTCCATCTTCCCCAGTCAGTATTTGTCTGGGTATGGGTAATGGGAGTTGAACTCCAGCCAGAGTAGCCCAAAAGTAAATAAAATGAAATGAATGTGTGAACAGATAACACATGCATTACACACTTATAAATCTGATTAGCAGGCTTAGGATGAATTTCTACTCTCACCAAGGATATCTAGGGATCAATCAATATTTGCCGTTCCCATGTCAGCTGTGCCAAGTTTAGTAGCCCCACACTGACCAATGAGTTATTTTGCAGCTCAAAGTGAGTACCACACACAAACCTTTAAATCACCTTGGCTGATCAACAATGTTCAGCAACAATTTTTCACAAAGAGAGGGTGACCCAAGGTTAAGTTATGGTTAAGTTTATCTAGAATAAGAAATCACGTTAAAGTTTGACGCGTGTCAATATGGTGATAGAGATAGTGTCACTTCAGTAATCTGTTATTTAAAGGACCACTCTAGGCACCCAGACCACTTTAGCTTAATGAAGTGGTCTGGGTGCCAGGTCCCTCTAGGATTAACCCTTTTTAAAAAAAAAAAAAAAAAAAAACAGTTTCAGAGAAACTGCTATGTTTATAAATAGGTTAATCCAGCCTCTAAAGCCTCTAGTGGCTGTCTCATTGACAGCCGCTAGAGGAGTTTGCGTGCTTCTCACTGTGAAAATCACAGTGAAAAGACGCCAGCGTCCATAGGAAAGCATTATGAATGCTTTCCTATGAGACTAGCTGAATGCGCGCACAGCTCCTGCCACGCATGCGCATTCAGCCGAAGAGGAGGATCGGAGGCGGGGAGGAGGAGGAGAGCTCCCCGCCCGGCGCTGGAAAAAAGGTAAGTTTAACCCCTTTCCTTGCCATCCAGCCCGGCGGGAGTGGGACCCTGAGGATGGGGCCACCCTCAGGGCACTATAGTGCCAGGAAAACGAGTATGTTTTCCTGGAACTACAGTGGTCCTTTAAACCTACAAGTCAAGCACCTGGCATCTGTACTTGGTGGCAGTAGAAAAAACAAAAACAAAAAAAAAACTGCGGTTGCATCTGATGAGAAATATGAAAATTAGCACAAATACTAACTTTTATTTTGATTCTCGGATTTGATATAGCAAACCAACAGGGCGTACAGTCAATATATGAGAAAAACAAATACTTACTCTAATACGTCTCTGTTGAATTGTTTCTGTCTGTTGCCTAGGAATTCTCCAATCATTTGCCTGCTGAGTCCTTTCCTTTGCAGGAGAAAATGTGCCACACCAACTGGAGTATCAGGTACAAATCCCCTTTCAATCAGATACTGAACCCCTTTTTCAGGTTTCCTAAGAACAAAACAAAAAATATGTGTAAATGAGGTATAACCAAACAACTGCAAAGATAAAAATATTTTACAAAAGATAAAGCTAGAATTTATTAGTTTAAAACAGCAGGTCTGACCATCCCCTTTATTTTCTATTGTAAGATAATGTAGAAGGCACTCTAATCATAACATTATGTTATCATTCCTACAAAATGGAAAAAAACACAAAAGAGTTTTAAGCCTAGCTAAAAATAACAAAAATGAATCCACTCCCCCAACTTGGGAGTCACAGGCCCGAGGGCTCCTATCACAACTGAGACTACTACTGCCATCACGTTCCACATCCTTTCTAGTTCTTCTTTCAGTCCTTGGTATTTCTCCACCTTCTCATGTTCCTTCTTCCTGAGGTTAGTGTCACTGGGTATTGCCACATCCACCATGACTGCAGTTTTCCGTTCCTTGTCTACCACCACAATGTTGGGTTGGTTGGCCAGCACTTGTTTGTCTAAAGTAATAGAGGTCCAGGCAATCCTTGGTTCAAGACAGGTACTTTATTAGGAACCACAACAGCAACGTTTCGACCCCAAAAGGTCTTTGTCAAGCTTGGTTCAAGACAGGTACTTTATTAGGAACCACAACAGCAACGTTTCGACCCCAAAAGGTCTTTGTCAAGCTTGACAAAGACCTTTTGGGGTTTAAACGTTGCTG